GAGGGCCGCGGGTCGGGCAGGAGGAGCAGTCCCACCCGGGGGACCGGCCGCGGGCGGTGGTCAGGGACGTGCGGCTGATCAGCGCCAAGACCGGCTACGGCGTGGAGGAGCTGATCTCCGCCCTGCAGCGCTCCTGGCGCTACCGCGGGGACGTCTACCTGGTGGGCGCCACCAACGCCGGCAAGTCCACTCTGTTTAACACGCTCCTGAAGTCCGACTACTGCACCGCCAAGGGCGCCGAGGCCATCGACAGGGCCACCGTCTCCGCTTGGCCAGGTGAGTCTGGTCGTGGTCCAGGCACCTCGAGTACCTCCTTCCGCATCCCTCCCTGGTGTCCACTACGAGCTTCCCGGAACCTTCCCTTTTTTCTTTACTGTAACACCCTATGAAGATTCATGAAGATTCTGCCGGGCACGGTGGCTCACGCCTGTAATCCCAGCACTCTGGGAGGCCGAGCCGAGAGGATGATCTGAGCCCAGGGATTCGAGACCAGCCCGGGCAACTTGGCGAGACCTCATCTCTTCAATAAATCAGAAGAAAATAGCCAGGCGTGGTGGCATGAGCCTGTAGTTCCAACTACTTGAGAGGCTGAGGCAGAAGGATGATCTGAGCCCAGCCGGTGGAGGCTCCAGTGACCGTGAGCGTGCCACTGCGCTCCAGCCTGGATGACAGAGTGAGACTTTGACAAAAAAAAAAGAAAAATTATTTCCTGGTTAGGTCCCACGTCCATGTGAGCTCACTACTGGGAAAAATTCAGTATATGTCGTACCAGTTTTCGATAGAAATATTTATGGTGCACTTCTCTGTTCCCGTCACTAGGTATCGGAGATACACCAAGGAAGGAAGCAAAGTTCCTGTTCTTTTGGAGATTTCCATTGTAATTTACTTCTTTGTACGTTTTTCCGGAAAGTCGTGCTTCCTTTTTAAATCTCTGAACCTACGTCTATCCCTCAGTCTTACTGTTCGCATCTTGAGTTGATTCATATGAGACCAGTGTATTATACACATACAACATATGAATCATACGTTAGTGCCATTTGATGTGTGGCTTTGCTGAGAAGAAATGTCAACCCTGTGACTTTCAGAAACTTCTGAAGTTGGAAAATGAGTCCAGTGATTTGAATTTAAGTTGACAAAACTCACTGCTCTATTTGTTCCCGTGAAACCAGTTTAACTTTGGTGAACTTCTGTTTTGCACTTTGGTTGAAGTTTACACGGAATAGCTTTTTTTTTTTTTTTTTAAGTTAGAGTCTCGCTGTGTCGCCCAGACTGAAGTGCAATGGCTACTCCCAGCCACTGCAGCCTCGACCTGCTGGGCTCCAACGATCCTTCTGCCTCAGCCTTCC